TCTTTTCTAGTCTAACAAGCCCAGAGTTCTTGGGGAAAAAAACTATATATTTTTTCTATTATTTTACATGCAAAACTGCTGGTACATGAGCCTTGACTATGGATAATGAGGTATCATCTTATTTACCAAGCACAGATCTGGGAAACCAGGGATAATGAAACTGTGCATAGCAAAGGCCTTGCAATTACATTCTTCTCAAGCCAAGGCAGAGGGGAATGAATAGTAAAACCAATGGACGATCACCTCCATTTCTGTCCTTTAGCAGGTTAGCTTCATCTTAATACCAGATGAGATAGAGAAAATAAATGACTGGGCAATTTATGAATTTTAAGAAACAACTTCCCTCAAAACACCTTAATGGTGGACTATTTAATTACCTATGGTTTTTCTAAAGCAGTGATTGAAAATCTTAGTTTAATTTTAATTGATTCTTAATCAAACTTCAACTTTTTTTGGGGGGGGGGAATTCAGTCAGTAGTTCTGGGAAAAGCAGAAGATTTCTATCTACGGTAATAAGTGAGGAAAGAACTTATCAGGAAAAAAAAACAGGGATGCCCCACTTCTGTTTAGCTCTATCCTCCTTGCCCCCACCCACTGGCATATCATTGTGTGTGGTTCAGCAAAGCTGGCTGAGGAATTCTGGGAGTTGAAGTCCACAGGTCTTAAAGATGCCAAGGTTGGAGACCCCCAACCTTGATCTAAACCAAACCAAAAGAACAAAGGTTGCTCACTTCAATTGTAAAGTTACCCAAAATTGCTTTTCTGTTCTAATGAAATCAGAACAATTTCCAACCATTTATATTTTTAAAGGTGAAAAGATTTCCTAACATAGTAACTTTGATACCATTTAGCGTCCCTTTAATCCCAGGTCTCAAATGCCTGTTAGATCCAAATCCTCCATGTAACTCATGTTAATTTGCATCATTTGTATAATGATGTAATTTGCACTACTACACAAATGATGGGAGCTCATGCAAATAGTGTTCATTTAAGTGAACTGTTAATACAACAAGATTTAGTCTGTTATTTCAGGGAAATGTCCGGATGTAGATTTTTTTTCTGCTACACCGGGAAGTCCCATAAACAGCAGCTTGTTAAATCAATTTTACTTTACAAGCAGAAGCTTTTATTTCAAGAGTCATGCCATCTCTCTTAATTCCTTTATTTTCTTGATTGACGTTTATTTGTTGTTAAGCTGTCTATTTGTTAATCACCTTTTGTTTCAGAATAAAAGGTAAAGATAAAGGAGTCTCTGCAGGTTTTACTCTGCTAGTTGTAGCTGACTTTAGGGTTCAATGCTCATCTCTGTTTCTGAATATTTTTACACACTCCCATAGTTCTTTTTATCATGCACAGTTTGCTGCTTAATGTTCATTTTTTTCTATATAAATCTCTTTTCTTCTCCAACCCTTCATCCACAGTAGCAATATATTACATCTGATTCAGGACATCCTGAATTTAATCCCAGAATCACTTTTTTAAATGGCAGAACTATACTAGTGGACATTATTATAGTAATAGTAATATAATGCGACAGTATTGTAGCATTTTAATATTGCAGAAGCAATACAAGAATAATGACCAGCAATGTTCTTTTAACAGCAATAGCACTTAGAGTTATATACCGCTTTACAGTGCTTTACAGCCCTGTAAAGTTTAAAGAGTCAGCATATTGCCCACAACAATCTGGATCTTATTTTACCCACCTCGGAGGGATGGAAGGCTGAATCAACCTTGAGCCTGG